TACAATTTACTTTTATTTAACTTTATCAATTAAAAAAATTTGAATGATAAAATTTAAAAAAAGCAGATTGCTAGATTTTAATAAAATAAAAAATATATAATATAAAAAAAATATATATACAATTTTTATAATGATTAATAATGCAGTTTTGAAAAATATATATGTATATATATTACGAATAATTAAATAATATTTTAAATAATATTTTTGCCTTTTTATTAATAAAGTTTATAAAAATAATTCATTCATAAAAATATGAAAAAAACATTTGTTACATATTATCTGTACAAAATAATTAAACATTATCAATAAATAAATATGATACACGTGGAACAATTTGTACCTTTCAATTATAAATTGTTGCAAACAAAGTATAACATATACTAACTACTTATATATAAATAGTAACTTACTAACAATATATATATATATATATTTTCACAAGATATTTCAAAGATAAATTTTTTGTTTTATAATAGATACATTTATAAAAATGATAAATTAAAATTACCAATAAGAAATTTTAACACTATATATTTTTTATAAATTATTTTTAAAAAATTTATTATAATTTTAGGGATTTTAAATAAAACATAGGGATATTTTTATTATAATATAAATAGATAGTTTCACCTGTGTAGTGAAGAAAGTAATGAATGTTTGAAATTAAACGTACCTTCGATAGAACGTTAAGAGTTTATCAAAAGAACATATTAATTTTAACTACAATTATTTTCACAAACGTAAATAAATAATTATCTTTATTTTATAAATCATGAAAGTATGGATTGAAATTTTATTGGAATGGGTAAATAATAATGATTAATAATTAAAAGTTTATAAGTAATTAATATTGAATTAGAAAAAATTAGATAATTTTCAAATAAATTATTTTCAATTATATTATAATATAATTATTTAATTGAAATGAATAGATTGAATTTAATTATATGGTAATGTAAAAATATTCTTAAATATTTCTATTGTGAATGTAAAATGTTAATAAATTTTTATTTATAAATAAATTCATTATACGAACTTTACTTTATTTTAACAAAATTAATATTTTCAGCTAAATTCTTTAGATGTATCAGAAACAATTATTAAAGATTTAAAAGATTTAAATAATGGAAAATTTTATAAAAAATTAATAGAATTATTGTAAGTAATTGTAATATTATTGTAATATTTTATATATTTTAAGTTTTTATGAATGTTATAATGAAATGTTATAAATTTATTATTACAATGTTATAAAACTTTTTTTAAAGAAGTAATCTATTCATATAATACATTAAAATATATTTATTTCATAAGTATTCATATATAAAATATTTAAGTAAAATATATTTTATTTTATAGTCAATGGAAAGGTATTAAAAATTGTTTAGATACAGAAAATATCATAATAAAATTTTTACAAGGTATGTTAATAGATTACAAATATTATATATTTTGTATATATATTCATAAGAATATATTATATATTTTTTATATTTTATAGATGAATATCCAAAATATAATTTTGATGATAAAAATTTGGATGAAATGGAACACATCTATATTGCATCATTATTTTTATTACATGTATCTCAAGAACCATTATTTTATCATCCAATGTGTATTAATTTGCAACATGAAACACAACTTAAAATTAAATCATTTCTTGAAATGGTTATTCCATATGGTAAAAATATAAATAGAGAAATATTAAGAGAAATAATTACTGAAGTAGAAACTGATATACCAAAAACACCTGTAACACTAAGAAAAAAAACTCTTAAGGATTTTTTTAATTCTCCTGTAACATGGTCTGCTCAAACTCATAAATTATTGAATGAAAAAAATAAAGAATTGAGAATGTTGAAAACTGAATTAGAAGTAGAAAGATTTGAAAAAGCTGATTTACAGGAGGATTTACGAATTCAACAGAATAAAGTACAAAATCTACAAAAAAAATTAGAAGAAAAGACTGTGGAAATAAAAGCATTAAAAGAAGAAAAAATTAAACCAAATACACCACAATCTTGTAAAAAGAATAAAGATATAATAGATTATAAACAATATTATAAAAAAGAAATAGATCATTTAGAAGATCAATTAATACAAAAACAATGTGATATAGATAAACTTGAAGCAAATAATGATACTTTAACAAAAAAATTAACATGTATAGAAATGCAATGTATATATTTTAAAGAAAAAGTAGAAAATTACGAAAAATCTTTAGAAAATTTACAAATTCAAGGAGAAATTAAAGACAGAGAATTGATAAATTTAAGAATGACTAATGAAGAATTGCGCATTCATTTAAAAGAACTTAGTAAAACAGCATTTGAAGAACAAAGTTTTGAAATAGATGGAATAGTACCTCTACAGTTATCTTCAACATCTTTAAATACCAGTGAAGTTTTAAGTTCTGTAATTGATATTCAATTACAAGAAGCAAAAGAAGAATCTATTTCATTAAAGGCACAATTAAATGCAGTAAATGAAAAATTGGAATCCATAACTCAAGAATATGAAGGTACAATAAAATTTTTAAAAGAAGAGATGCAAATATTACAAAATAAAGAAAGCAAATTAAATACAGTTATAAAAAAATTGAATAATGAAATTGAGATTTTACAAAAAGAAAAAGAAACTTTAATAAATCAAAATAAAAATTTAGAAATAGTATGTAATTCTCACAATGAATCATTGTCACATGCTGAAAAACTCAAAAATATATCAATTATGGAAATAAATACTTTAAAAGAAAAAATAAAAAATTTAGAAGAATTTTTAAACAATGAAAATATAAATAATATTAAATTACATACTGAACTTACACAACATAAATCACAAATACATGAAAATCTTGAATATATCCAAAATTTAAAAGAACAAAATAATTTATATAAAACTTCTATAGATTTATATAATGCAAATTTGAAAGAAATTATACTTCATAATTCAGAAACTAATTGCATGGAAAATAATTTAAATGATAAAACAATTACTGAACTTATAAAACATGTACAAATATTAATATGTAATTTTAATAAAAAATATACTTTGAAACAAATAGAAATAGAAACATTAAATAATACAATAGCAGAAATTAAATTAAAGCTTGAAAATTCTCAATCACTAATATCTATATTAAAACAAAAAGATGAACAAAATATTATAGAAATATCAAAATTAAACGAAATTATCATAGATAATACAACAAAAATTAATGAATTTACTAGTATTATAGAAAAATATTCCAAAGAAATTTCATGTTTAAAAAATACTGAGTTGCAAAAACAAGTTTTAGAGAAAGATTTATATATGTATAAAGAAAAAATAGATAAAAAAAATGCATTGTTAAAAGCTTTTGTAATATGTATAAAATCTTTGAAAACAAATATCCAAACTCTTGAAACAGAATTTTATTCAATGAAAGCAGATGTGTTAAATCAAATAAATGAATACCAAAAATACAATAAAGAAACAAATAAAAATATTTTAAATGCTTATAAAATATTATATACTAATTTTACTGAAGAACAACTTTGCAAATGTCAATTGAAAAATGAACTTACTGATAATAAAAAAATATTAGAAGATTATAAAAATGTTAATAATATATTAGAAAATGATTTAGTAAATCATAAGCAAATGATAAATCATTTGGAGACAGAATTAATATGTACTAAACAAAAATTAACACAATCTATACAAAATTTAGAAAAATTTGAAAAAACAAAAGAGATATTTCAAAATCAATATAAAAATCTTAAATCTGAAAATGAAAAAAATTTATTTGATTTAAATAATATAAATGATAAATTTAAAAAATCTCAGCAAGAAGTATGTAATATATTAGATCAATTAAAATTTAAAGATAAAAGAATTCAGAATCTAATTGAAGAAATTACTTCTTTAAAATTAGAAAAAGAACATATAATACATTTACAGATGGGAGAAGAAACTAAAATGAAAAATTTTATAAAAGAACTGGAAACAAAATTATTAAAAAATCAATGTCATTTAGATCAATTAAATATAGAAGTGAAATTAAAACAAGAAACATTAGAATTTGTGCAAAATGAATTTGAAAATTTATCAAAAGAAACAATTGCATCTAAAATAAAATTAAAAGAAATAATTATGAATCTGCAGGAAGTAAGAAGCAATCAAGATGCAGTTTTAAAAACACAAGAGAAAACTTTAAAAGAAAAATGTTTACAATTAGAACAATTACAAAAAGAATTCAATGATTCAAAGGAAATAGTTTATAAACAACTTGAAAATAAAAAATTATTATGTCAAAGTCTTCAAGCTGCAAATTTTGAATTACAAACAGAATTTTATAAACAAACAAAAACAATAGAAGAATTGCAACAAATAATAAAAAAAGAAAGAGATGAGCTTAATAAAAGTAAGGAATATTGTAAACTTGAAGATATAAAAAAATTAAAAATTATACAAGATTGTGAAAAATTACAACATTCTATAAATGATTTAAAATCAATAATTACAGAAGTAAATATAAAGAATGAAAATTTTTATGTTGATACTACATATAATATACAAAATATAAATAATGATGATAACATTGAAAATATTTTAAAAATTATAAAAACATCCATTAATGAAATACAGACATCACGTAAATTAATTTTATTTCTTTCAGACGAAAATACAAATTTAAATAAAACTTTAAAAAATCAAAAAGTAATTGTAGATAATTATGTTACAAAATGTGAAGAAATCAAATTGTTAAAAACTAAAGTTCAAGAATTAACTAATTTACAAGAAAAATATGAGCAATATGTAAATAATTTTATCGAGAATAAGAAATCATTAAAAGATTCTTTAAAAAATATTATAAAATCAAGAGAAGATCTGGATATATCTTTAAATGAATTAAAACAAAAATGGGATAATGTATTAATAAAATCTACTAATGTTTTTATAATAGATAATTTTGTGTGTGATGAATTAAAGCATATACAAAACAAAAAAATATATCTAGAAAATATATTATTTAAACATCATATTTATCATTTTCAAAATATAAAACCTTTACAAAATATTTTATGGGATTCATTTTTATGGTCTAAACAAAAAATAGAAGATATTTATTTGAAAACAAAAAGTGAACAAACAATAGATATTTCATCAGATATTTTCTCTAATGAAAAAACAATAATAGAAGCAGAATTACATAAAAATAAAACATTGCAAAAAGATATTGTTCAATTACAGAATGAAATAGATGATTTTTCAAAATTAGTTATTTCTTTTGAAAATAATTTTAAATTTAATGAAATAAAATTCCAATCTGAATCAGAGAAAAAATTACAGTTGCAAATTAATAAATTAAAAGAAGATAAAAGTAATTTAGAAAGTAAATTAGATTGTACATGCATAAAAAATGCAAAATTGGAAGACGATATTGATGAACTTAGCAATAAAATACAAGAAATGAAAATATCATTAAAGGAAGTAGAAGAGTTAAATAAAGAATTGATACAATTAAAAGAACAAAATTCAAAATTACAAGAAGAAAAGAATGAATTATGCAAGCGACCAAAAAAGGAGGATATTGATAATCAATTAAAAGATATTCATGATAAATATAAAATTAAAGTAGATGAAATTAAACAAAATATGGTAGGCATATTAATATTTTTATATATTTATATTTTTGCAATTATTATAATTATTTTATTTCTATAACAAAATATTACAGAAAACAGCATATAATGAACAAATAACAAAGCTAAATAAAGAACAAGAACAATGTGTACAGGAAAGATTGGAGTTACTACAAAAAAAAATGGAATTACAATGTCGCAAACAAGCAGATGAATTAAATAAATACAAAGCTCATGTTGCTAACATGAGTTCACAGCTTTGGAATGTTGGAGAGAAATTATTAAATGAACAGCAAGAAAAGGAAAAATTACAAAAGAAATTAACTGAATTGAAAACTAAATATCAAGATTTGGATCAAAAACTCGTTTCTTTAAAAGAATATAAAAATTTAAAGTAGAATTAATTTTATAGCATTAATGATTAAAAATTATTTTATTTTTTTATATATTTTATAGATATCGTCTAAATTTTTTTTAGATGTGAAAAAAAAGATTTATTAGGAGAAAATAAAGATATTTTACATAAAATTTCAATAATAGAAGAAAAAACAACATATGAAAGAAAATATAGTATTAGGAATATACAAACAATGGGTAATGCATTTAATGCGGAGGATGAAGAAGGAGAAGTATTTGATAATATTTATTTAGGTAAATTAAAAACAATTTATTAAAAAATTAATTTTAACTTATTTATTACTAATGAAATTAAAATTATCAGCTGATATAAAAGATGATAATTCTTCATGCGGCATTGATACAGATAGATTATCTATTTTGAAAAAAAGAAATGCTCTTTGCAAACCTCATTTAAAATCATCTTATCCAGCGGAAATGCAATTTCATCCTCTACCATTTACAGAAGAAGAAATTAAAGTAAGTAATTTTTATAATATGTATATTCAGGATACTTCATATAACTGGATCAAGTTGTAAATCTGAAATATAACACGAAATATAAAAAACTTAAATTTAACAAAATGATTTTAAATGGTGCATGATTTAATGCATATGTGTATGTAAAATTGGAAATTTTAAATTGAATATTTTAAAGATTCTAAATTCTAAAATTTACTATTATTTTCTTGAAACTATTTATATAATTATTTATATATCTTTTATTATTTTATCTATATACTATATATCTTTTTTTATTTTTTATATAAAAAGATTTAAAATCTTAATTTTATTTTTGTAAAATTTATAGAAAAAGCTAATTGCATATATGTTTTCCTTGTATTTACAATATATAATAAGTTTTATAAAAATGAATTATATCTCTTAAATTAATAGTTTTTAAATATAATTATTTCAATACTAGTATAAAAATAAAAAATGAATCAATTGTTATATTATAAAGACATATTAATCAATTAAAAATAAAGATATTGTGATATTCAAATTTTCGAATTGACTTTTACAATATATATATACATCATATTATATTCAAAATCATTTAATTTTATCTATTGAAATTTTTTATTTTTTATGTTTCAAAGTCATAAATAATTCAAATTATATATACTGTAATTATAATTTTGAATTCATTCTATTTTATTAATTTTACTTTTGTGTGCGTGTGTGCATACGATTGTGCGTACGACAAAAAAGATAGCATGCACGCACGCACAAACACATATAATTATGTATTATATATAATACATAATTAATATATTTAATTAATATATATATAATATATATTATTATTTCTAATTTAATTTAATTATAGTCAGGTTCAGTCCCAGATGAAATATTTAATGATAGTTTAAGTCAAAGTTTACTTCCTGAACAAAAAACTAAGAAAAAAGATAGAACACAGGTATGTTTAATATTCAGATAATAAAAAGTTAATATTTTTTATAATAATTTTGATAAAAAAAAAACTTATAACTTCTATCATGTGCTTGATGAAAAAAAAAATATATTATAATTATATATATATAGATGTATATGAATGAATTAAATTTATATACAAATATATTTCTTTTTTAATCTATTTGTTATAATTAAAATTCTCATTATTTTTCAATTTTTTCAATTATAATTTATTTTATAGACATCATATAAAAAACCTGGTCCTCCAACTCCTAGTAAAAATGGAGGGAGATTATCATTACAGGTATATAATAAATGAAAATAGTATATCTATATTACAAAATTAATACTTAATCTGAAATTTTCTGATCTTTTTTTTTTACATAATTAAAAATTGAAGGGTAATGAATTAAGAAGTCCAAGTTCAAGAATATTAAGAGAAAGAAACAAAGATAGAGCAACGACTACGCCACGCACATTGAAAAATTTATTCCTTTCACGACGTCAAGATGAAGTAAGTCATTGATATCATTTAAAAATAATATATTAATTTAACTTCTTTTATTTAACTTCATTTAATAATATAATACAAAATTTTATATAATTTATGTAAATAATAAATTATATTTTTTAATATTTTAGAATGTTATTGTTACACCAAGAGGTCGTAGAAGAAGTAGCATTTTCCGTAAATATCGTAATGTAAATGATAGATAAGTAATCATATATGTAATATAAAATATTTACTAACAATAATTAATATTAATTGTAAAAAAATGTATTTTCTTTATGCTTTTCACATCAGATTATATAATAATTGTATAATAGTAAAAGTAAAATATAATATAATAATAAAAAGTATAGAATATAACAGGAAAAGGACAATTTAAATAAGCAAATAGTATACAAAAAATATTTATCTTTCTTATATTATTTAGATAATTATTAAATATGTTATAATAACAATAATATTTAAGAATTTTATATATCGAGAAACATGAAAAATATTGTTTATTATGTTTATTATATTTAGTAAATTCAAAACAAGATATGTAACTTTGATTAATGAAAATAATAATTTAAAAAATGCAGTAAACTTTTAAAAAATGTAACTTAATAATGAATTTGTTATATATATAGTTTTAATTGTGATATCATTTGAAACTTACACAATATGACATGTGTTATAAACGTATCACAAATCATTTCCTTTTAGAATAGTTTTATCTTGAATGAATGTATTATTATTTATCATATTTTATTCGGAATCAGATTCCTGTAACAAAAAATATTTTATTAAGGAAATTATAATCAAATAAATATACATCAAATAGATGTTAAATTTATATAATATTGTATATAAAATTACTTGTTATAATATTAATATAACGATTGAATATTTGATAATACAAGATTCATTTTATTAGTTGAATTTTTGACTAATTTTATATTTTTTAATAATATAATATTTTTTTTTCTTTATGTTGTAATTAGATTATTAAAAAAATTTATCGAAATTTTGAAGCTAATCTTCAATAATTTTTTTAATTAATATTAATATAATTTAATTATATATATTATTATTAAAATAAATAATAATTAAATATTATAATTAAACATTAATTTGTGATAATTTTAATATTACAAATTAAAAATTATTGTAACTTACCATATATTGTCCTTCTACATAACGACCAGAATTCCTAGAAGTTCTTCTTAACTCTCTTGGCTCTATATTATCTTGACTTCTTCGTCTAAAAGAGAAAATAAGAAATTATTATAAATATATATAATTTCAAAAAATATCTAAATTTTTATAAAATTTAAAATTTATAAATTTAAAAATTTATCATACTTACGATCTAGATTGGATTTGTAATGTCTTAAGTTTATTATCTATGTCTTGAGAAGGACTGGTTGATGCATCTTCAATAATTGTTGTTGGAGAACTTTGCATTTGTGTAGTTTCATTTGTTTCATAAAAGCCAGCTGCTCTAGATCCACGAGTTATTGATATTTTATTAACAGTTAATCTGAAATAAATATTTAAATTAATAGTACTATAAAGAATATATACATATAAATTTATTTTATGAATGAACATTTCTCTATTTAAATGAAATCACTTTGTGCATATATTTTACAAAATATTACAAAATATTTTACAAATTTAATCCTTTTAATAAATAAATATAAGTTTGTAATCTAAGTTTGATCTATTTTTATGACTAAAAAGAAATAATGAAATGTAACTACTCACTGATGTTTCCTTGGACCACGTTTCTTCTTGTATTTACTGAAAGAAAAAGTTTTTATTGATGGAAATATATTGGAATTAATATCATAAATAAAGGGACAAAAATTTATGTTAAATAACTTTGAAGTCTCACACTCATCTTTCATATAATATGAATATATGCATATATTATGAAATTTCACATATGTACGTATATATTAATATATTTAATTATATTGAAGAAACGATGAATTGTCCAAATTAAGTATACAGAATTAACCCAAATATTAATAAATCAAATATCTAAAAACATTTTTATAATATTGTAATGATAATAGAGAACGGCGTGTTAAAAAATATAAACTACAAAAATCCGATATTCAGCAGGAAATGTGAAACAATGGGTTAATTCTGTCACATTTCCTGCAAATTTTGATAAGGAAAAAGTTCTATAAAAAACAGTATTACTTATTTACTATAGATTAAAAATTTTGATAACAGGATTAGGAATTCATAGGAAAAGAGGGTATTATTTCAATTAATATCACATATTCATTATATCTATTACCAATTTGTATATTATCAATATATAAACAGAATACAAAGTATTTTAAACTTACTTGGTTTTAAGTTCAACAGAACACACATCGTTCTCTATGTATTTTTTGTCAGGTGTTCCAAAAATATTTATATTTCATAATATCATTTTTCATTTTTTTATCTTATTTTCCTTACACTAGTTTTTATAGAAGATGAGTTCTTTAGTAGTCAAATTAGGCACCAAGAATAACAGATTTCATCAATTCCTCACATAACATTTGTTTTTTACATATTTAAGTATGTGTTTGATATTTAATTTGATATTTTGATAATATTACATATAATTCCTTACACTAGTTTAAAAGTTGATTTTAAAACAGGCACCAAGAATAATAAACCTCATTAATTCCTTATACAATTTTTGTCCCTTATATGATTATAATATATTATAGATTTTGCTAAAAACTCTAAGTCTTAGCTTGAATAACGATCAGGTAGCCTGCAACAAGCGATTCATAAAAGATTACTACTCATGCAAACATAACAATTTTTAATTTAGATAAAGATGCCAAAGATACTTATTAATAAATTAAGCATTAACATGCAATTAAGTTACAAATGTATAAAAAATAAAAGAGAACTACATATATTAGAAATTATTTTATTCTTAAGAATTTATAATTTTATAAAGGGGCAAAAAAAAAAGTAAAATAAATATGCTTATATATTACATTTCAAATTATATAATAAATAAATAAAATAATAAATAAATAAAATAATATCTTTGTATAAAATATATTTGTATATAAATAAAATAATTTTATAATTTTGAATAACTGACATATTTAAAGAATATCTTTTATACTTTTAATTCTCAATTTTAATAATATATTTAATATGATCAATGAAATACATTATAAAGTAGAATAGAAAATTATATTTAAATGTAATTTTAATTAAATTATATATAATTTTAGGATTTGTTAATACAAAAGCATAATGTTACTAATAATACTAAAAGAAATGTATACATCATATGTGCATCAAAATCTACATAAGCGTGTAAATGTAATAGATAATTGCAATATATTCTATAACTATAATAAAATATTTATCATTCATAGCATAAATCTATTTTAAAAGCAATAAAGCGTGTTGCAATATACATATAATTATAGATTAACTTCATTATAAATTTTTATAAAGAATCATATATAGGAACTACTTGCAAGTACATAAATATTCAATTTCTGTAATTATTTTAGCATTATATTATTCTGTATTAATTTGATATAAATACCTAACTTACCCGGAAAATTCATGATCAGAACCTTCTTCAGGCTCATCTGCTTCTTCTTCTTCTGCAAACATTTTAAATAATTGTAATAACAAATGTAATACAAAAATAATTATAATACAATTATTAATATTTTTTTCAAAAGAAATTTTAAATTTCGAATAATGAATAATATTATATTTATTTATATACCTGCTAAATGATCCTTTTTACGTCTTGTATATGCACGTTTACTTGTTACTGGAACTTGATCTGTTTCGCCATGTAATAAGCTGTTCCTATATAAAAGTAAAGGTTGCCAATCCTCTCCCCGTGAGGACGGCATTCCAGCTTGTAATCTTCTATCAAGAAAATTTAATCTATAACAAATACATATAAAATAAATTTAAAAAATCATTAAAATTATTAAAATAAAAAATATATTGATAAAAAGTTTTGATAATAAGTTTGATAAATAGAATTGAACCTACACCACTCTTTTATCTTGTTTAAGAAGTTTATTCGTAAATTCAGATAAAATTTCAAGAAAAGATAAATTAGGTGGTGGTCCTGTAGGATCTTGTTCAATACCATCTGGTGGTGTAATTGCAAAAAGAACACCTGCTCGATGTAAAGCAGTAATTGCCTCACGATTTTTTACTGCATCTAAGCCAAATGACAAAGCAAATCGTTTTGCAAGTTCCTAAAAATATTAACATTTATATTTCAATATATATTTAATTATAAATAAATTATATATATAAACAAACCTTAATTGCAGTAAATTCTTCACTATTTCTATTAACTTTTCCTTTCTCTGCTACTATTTCATTATATAAAATATTTAAACTATGTTGCATAGTTAAAGCACAATTTGTTTTATTAATATCTCTTGCTTTTCCTAATGTAGTTTTAATAATATCACCATAATCATTATAATATTTCACATAATGTTTAAAAACATCAGCTGCTGCTTTTGTGGGTATCATGTTATATACAATTAACTTACAATAACCAGCTAAAAAATTTCTTCTTTTATGTAATTCTTCGATTTTTGAATGTTCATCATGTTCATCTAAATATATTGCATATATTTTATTATTAA